GTCAACGAAGCTGCTTTTGAGAGGACCAGGTGAGCTTTTTCAGAGAATTTGATAACCAGTTCCCTTCATGGTAATCAAGATCGCGTAGCGCATCGACATGGAGTCCTCGATTTTTACCAAATGTGTCAACTCGAGCAATTTTATTATCATTATTGTCATCATTACTAATACTATGTCATCATGGTAGTAGTAGTAATGATGGCAATGCTCCAGTATTCCATCCTCTACTAATATTACTTATATCACTATTCCACATTGAAATCATTATAATTCCTATTATTGTGGCTCTGTTTATTATTACTATTTTATCCTGATTTCTACCTTTATTACCCAACGCAGCATTAATTTAATCAAACTGAATAAAACGCGTGCGCTTTACAAATCACTTTTGTTTAACACCATAGCTTTTCAATGCAAAATACCTATCCTCCTCCCGATTGCACTTCTCTCTTTTTGACACAAATACTTAACTTTCAAGGTTAATAAACACTTTTCGAAAGTGTTTATTAACCTTAAAAATTTTTACTTCCTGTGGGAGGCGAATACATACAAAAGTATTTTGAGAGTAACAAAGTGTTTCGAATATTTCGAGAGTTCTAAGAACAAGCACTCGCTGACAAGGCTGCCGTTGACTCGCCTTTTCGATGACTGCTTAAAATTAAGTTCATATCAGAATTAACTTCCTGACAAGCACAGTACCAATTGTCGAAATGAATGAACGATTCGTAAGGGGACTGTTTATCTCGGTGACAGAGTTGAACTCGGAAACGCTTCTTCCCATTGCTATTTGTTCCACTAGCACTATTTTTTGTATTCACAGATAAGTTAATTATCCAATGATACAGTGTGCCTCCCATGTTTTACCCATCCCTCTGCTTTTACGATAGAAACAAACGGTCCCGACAAAATTTTGTCAGCCGGTAACTAGCAAAGTGTTGCTAATGAATCTCTACAAAGATCTCTAGAAATGTGCCGTATTAGTTGATGTGTGTATAGGTATCCGTTATTTATACGACTGGAACTCCATCTCGATATTGAATGGCAACTGGTGCTTGTCAATTTGCTCTGCGAGGTTTTCGGAAATAAGCTTTATCGGCCGCGCAGTGACCCGGTGGATTGGGTGAACGGCCAGCGCCGACCGACACCTAAAGACTTCCAGATGAGAATTATTCTTGTGGTATGTCTTCTAATTTTATGAAAACGCAGTGTAAAATGTAGGATGACGGTCTGCACTTAACACTTTCAGTGCCAACACCCCATTTTCTGTGTTGTGGCTTTCCACTGACAGTTCCCAGGAAAGAGGGCAAGTACCTGTTCTATTTATCAAGAGCTATATGTTGTACTTTACTATCTTTCATTTTTTACTGAAAGTTATAAATACTGAAAATGGCTTATCAGCTTTATCAAAAATTTTTAAATACATTTAGTTTTCTAAAAAAAGAATTTGTTCCGAAGACCAGATCCTACTTCCCAGGAATTATTTGTGGACAAGTCGCTTTTACCGCCATACCAAACTTCAGAGGGTTGCATTTCGTAGTGGATACTTTAAATTTACAAGCCTACTCCGAACAATGATTGAACTGTCTGCAGATGTTAGAATTCAGGCTGAATATTTTATTTTGTAGAGTATTTAGGGTAGAAGGATTGATGGCGCTGATGAGGATATTGGCGAGGTGAGTGAGGAA